ATATATATATTTTAAAAAAAGAGCCTTGGTCTAATATAGTTAAGTTTTCTAACAATCCAGAAACCAAATCCTTAGTGAGCTATCCTGCGTCCTGTCGGTAGTAGCTTCCCAGGTAGTACCTACTCCCCCGGGCCAAAAAAACATAAACGCGTACATATATATATATATTATATACACATACATATTTAGTATTAGTAGAGAGGAGCGGGCAAAAAAAACGCCTGCAAAAAAGCGCCGGCGCAGGTGTGGCCAAGTACTGTCACCTTGCAGGATCCTGAAAAGGGTGATTTGGACATCATCAGTGATGGGGGCTGGCGAGATTTGGTGGTGTCTAGTCTGGCAAGAGTCAAACATGAAAGAAACACTAGGAGCAAGGACGCTCCTTGGAGACTCTGTTGCTGCCTCACTACTAGGAACAATGTTCGCTACTAGGGGCTCCTGGCATCGCTACTAGGAGCAAGGACGCTACTAGGAAAGAAACACATGTTGCAAGAGTTTTGGACCGAAGCAGACATGTTACTTGTGCATTTCAGTGTTTAAGCTACCGAAATGGCGATCTCCGAGGTGTGGAACCCGTACGGAGATGACAAGGTCGGGAGTTCGGATATTTCAAGCGGAAGACTGGGAAGGCTCACTGTATACATGCCACTCTCTGTGGGACTTTCCGCAAAAGGACGGACCAAACACAAACGCAAGACAAGGACGCACCAGTGTACAGATATTGGACGCGCAGTATACGTATACAGTCTAACGTGACCATTTGGCAATCGATACACACATACAATAGCAGAGGTAGCACCGGTGACATACGATTTGCGCGCCTAAATGGTCTCGCAAAGGCTCCCAAACGACAAACACATGTTGATCAATCAGTTTTGGTCTGGTGGGCTTCCTTAAAAAGTAAGGGCTTTGTATAGTACCTACATGGGTTTCCTCACTGCCTTGTTACGTGGACATGTTGCATCTTTTCATGCGTCAAACACCTTGTCACCCTGGGTAGATGGGCTACAAGACCTTCGTTTGTGTCGCAGAGCTGCATTCAGGGACAAACATGACGGAGCCTTTATATACATACAGCTGTACAGGGTGCATCAGAAACAAAGTCCTGAAACCAAGCCATCAAAAATAGATCGAGATTGAACAGATCAGTTGTTTCAGCATACAATCTGTTCCAGTTCAGACTCTGTGGACGAAAACAAGCTGTTGCCTCACCAAGGTTGAAAGCGTAGAATGTGACCCAATCTCCTTGGCAGCAGGGTCATCCTGGGAGGCAACCGTGAATGTGGTGCCCAGGAAGTAGCTGCTTCATCGATTTTCGTATCATTTTTCTTGGCCATGCGCTGAAGCTTCCTGGAGAAGGGAGAAGCCGCCGTCTTTTCTTTGGGCGGAAAAAGACAACGAGCGCAGAATGGCCATTTTGTGGAGGATTGTCTAGCTTTCAAAGGGCATGAACGCGGCCATGGAGGTCATTCTGGCCGGTGCAAAAAGACAGAAAGTGGGTACGGTGTGGACCCAGGCATTGGGGCTCAGGCGTGTGAGAAGTATTCAAGTCCTTTAAAGTATGCTTGATGCTAGAGCTTGTGAAGCTTTGATCCACTATCACTTCCACGTCTCTGGGAAGTGCAAAAGGAAGGAATTCAATGTTTGCATTCCTGTGTCCCACCTGCCCTGAAAAGCTTCATGAAGCTGACCTATGGCAGGCTCGGCGTGTCGCTCCAAAAAGTGGCTGACTGGTTTGGTGCCGAGCAGCATCGAACACAGTCTAAGATTTGATGTGTGGACCAGGACCCGTTGCTGTTTCTATCCAATGCACTCAGTCACATGACTTGCAGTCTGTCTAGTCTAGTCGATCTATCACTAGGTGGGGCTCATCAGATGGCACTGAGGAGTAGATTGGAACAAAGCCACTTTGTGCTGAGGTTTGAACCCGTGACAACAGATGGGGACTGCTTGCTTGGCCCCTGTACATAGAGCTGAAAGCAGTGAAATCGAAGCTCTCGGATGAGTTTTCAGAAGCTATGATTTCAATGCGTTTCTTCGTAGCTTACTACGTCACCTTCATGAACTCGACGTTCCTTTGGTTTGAAACCAGACCGCAGTGGCCCACGAGCTGTAAGAGGCAGCCAATGGGAACAGGGCCTTGATTCAATTCAGCTGCTGATGTACCCACGGAAGCACTCTTTGACATCAGCTGTCGTGGGAGTGGACATGTCGATGCAACCCTGGCCTCTTGGCCTCCTCCTAAACTCCTGGACTGATACTACTTGTAAGCTCTCAGATTCCCCATCCACACACACAGAACAAATGTTCGTGTAAAATTGTAGCGAGAAACAGTCCGCATCGGGTTTGCAGAAGGTAGAGAGTCACTTGGGGCGTGCATGGATTGTTATTCTATGTTATTCTTTCAAATCCCTGCCGCTCAAAGTGTTTGGAGATGAAAGAGTGCTGCGGCAAGCCCAGGCCAACCAAAGGCTTTGAATGACATGTTTTTCTGCGTGTGCATAAGAGACAGAATTTGAGATCACGGCAAGCTTCCAAACCTTCTCAGGTCTGATCCAGGTCAAGGCACTACATTTTCAGTTCCCATTTGACGGGCTGTGGTGTAATCCGCTTGTGAATACCAATCTTGGCCCCTCGCTTTTGGGTTGCCCTGGCGTTGATGTGCCAAGGCAGACCTGCAAAACGTCATGAGCATCCAGCAGAGACAGGCTAGATTGTAGTATGAGCTTGAATCCAAATTCATGAAAGTGACAAGTTGGGGAGTGGCCGTGGGATGTCAAAATGCAGTTCTCTCATGATCGTTTTCCAAGAACAATGTCACGCCGACCAAATCCTGATGACCTTCGGAGCCACAACAGATTCCGACCGCCAAGCATGCATGTTATGCTGCATGTTACATGAAGCTGGTCTGCAAATTTGAAGCATTCATCTCCGGCCTTTGTTGTTGCTTCCATGCGCAACAATATTGGATTGACATGGATTGACTTTGACATTTGAGCCCGCCCAAATCTCCTGCGGGAGGGCATTGCACCCACCTGGATGCTGCATCAGTTGGAGGTCAGCAGCTTGAGTCAGGTTTATGATGACTTGAAGAGATATCGAATTTGAGCGGCTTTATGTGGGTGGTACACTCTCAAAAAGGGCTAGTTCAACAAGCGCGCGTTCACTAGTTTGTTGGCTTTGCCTTCTCATGTAGTAAACATAAATGGAGCAGGTGCTTCTTTAGATACAACAGCCGTACAGTAGAGGAATTTGGGGAACAATTTGCATTGTTATCGTTTGCTCCTCTTGTACATGTACAGGAAAAGCCAGATTTGGACCAGTTACACGCTGTTGCTGTTACTTTCAATATTTCTCTCGTTTTTGCACACTTTGCTGGACCACGCAGGTCAAGGGTGTTGGCCTCAAAGCCGCTACTAGTTACTCTTTGGTCAACCAGGCCTTGGAGTCAGATTGTGACGGCCTGGAGCGGCGCTGGCGGCAGGCACGAAAGGAGACACTGACACCACACGAGGGCTTTGGTCTGAAACCGTGTTAGTTTATGTTTTGTTTGTCACGTCCTGACGTTTTGCGGCCTTTGCCCTCACAGCAGGTGCAAGGGCAGCGAAAAGGGGAGGAGCATCGATTGATCCAGAGGCAAGGCTTGCCTGGCAAGCTTCGCAGCTAGCAAGGAGATGCCTGACAGGGAAACTACTCGCTGGACCCTCTCAATACCAGGTTTATCGCTTTTCTTGAGAACCTCTTGCCAGAGAGAGAGAGAGAGAGAGAGGGAGAGCGAGACAAGTTGGCAGCCTTGGCCGACGTGGCTTCAGGCTCCGCTCTGAGCACGAGAGCCAGCTTCAAGAGCTAGGCGTTGGGCGAAATCTGGATGTGAGGAGGTACTAGGTCTACTGATTTGACCAGAGTGGAAGCACATCATTGACTTGACAAGTGCCCTTTTTCTGTGATCATTGGCTTTGCACTGCATGTGAATGCTCCCTGCTAGGGTGACAGAAGCTAGACATAGTGCGATGAAGGCACCGTTGCAGGGTCAATTTAATAGGTTTCTAAGGTTCCCGTGTGCGTGTCCCTAGCTATGCAGGCCGCTTGAGAGAGACGATCAAGGAGAGCAAGGAGGAGAAGTCTGAGTCCCAAGTGTAGTCAGAGACTTGCAGTGCTATTTGGATTAATCATTTGGTGGATGATCACGCGCAAGAAGCTTTGCTGACTCATTCACCATTGCCATGAATTCTGGCCACGTTTGAAGGCCATCCCCGCCCAGCCTCGAGCCCTTGGAACAAGAGGCACTGGCTTTGGTATGTTTGGTGATGAGCTTAGTATTTTATCTCGCAACGATTTGGTGTGTTGATCTTGATGACAGGGTTTTTCGAGAAGGCAAGTTTCGGTTTGCCACAAACTCGATCAGATTTGTTCTACTCTCCTGCGAACGCAATTATTGCTTTGTACAAATTGGATGAGGTTTATTTGTTTAGGTTGAATCTGCAGTGACAGAGATGATGGGCTTGTTCACACTTGCCCTCAACAGCTTCACTCACTACCACTCGTGTTTGCCAGGTCAAATTTGTCGCAAACCGCAGTGCTCGGCAGTGCTCCGTTCCTCTCAAGAATCATTCACCCATCATAGTACGGGGAAGGATGAAAGTATGGACCCCTGTGTACGTCAACCTGGTCGCTCGGGCGGGTGCAGCTGGGCGAAGTTGCAGGCAGCAGAGTTGCGCCGTGAGATTGAAGAACTCCAGCGGAGGAAGCATGCTGAAGAGGCATGAATGTGGTGATTCGTTCGAAAGGGGAACCGACCGGTGAAGAAGGAAGAAGGATGCTCCTGGAGTTTGAGAAACAGCATTACGCAAAGATACTTGCTCAAGGGTCGCTTGCATGACACATTTGAGGTGCCGTCATGAACCTCACCACCCATGGACTTGATTCTGCCTGGAAAATGGAGCATTCAGTGATTAACAAGAAACTACTACTGGGAACAAAGGGCATCGCTACTAACTCCTGGCCTTACTACTAGTAACAAGAAGCTGTTCACTGTGCATATGGAGCTTTCTTGAGGCACATGCCGAGCAACAACGCTTGGCCCTCAAGGTCGAGATCGGTTCATTGCAGGTGCGGAGCAGAATGAGCAGTGTGTGTTGCTTGCGCCGCACATGTGCCCTTTCCAGTTTCCTTGTTTTTAAGTAGCTCGGTTAGTTTTGGTTCTCAACTCTTCCACCGTCACCAGATGCATGCGCAGATGTTCACTGTCCTTCGGACACCCTAGACTCCATGGCGGTGTGCGGGCCAACTTGGCCAGGAGCAGCTTCAACAGACTCTGTCTCAAAAGTCGGTGATGGAGGACGTGGTTGAGGCGCCAATGGCAGGTTCAAGGCCGTCAAAGCCATGGAAGCGAAACACCCGGCCTCTCCCAAGACAGCTTTCAAATCAAATGTGTCAATCACGTTGCACTTCCATATTTCTTTATATGTAGATTTGTTAGATTTTGTTTGTATAGGATGTGTTGTGGAGGGAGAGGCCTAATGCGGGAAGACGATTTGCGGAGAATCTGGGAGGACCTTCTTCCCAAGCTTTCAAACTGCACAGTCTGTGGTGTCTTTGTCTTTCTACTTTCTTGCCAGGGGCTGAAGAGCTCTCACAGTGCCACGGCAGACTCTTCCCGGGAGGTGCGAGAACTTCAACAGCACCAGGAGCTTTGGAGTCCCGCGACACCCTTTGGTCATTGGATTTGGTTGGTTGATTCTTGAGTCCTGATGATTCCTGTTGATCCACTGATTGATGAGTGGGGTTGACTTCTCCATGAACAATTTTCCTCCAGGGGATATGCCATCGGGCATGCTTTTCTAGGGGTTCCGATTTGGTGAAAAGAGATGTGAGCAGAATGCTGAGCAGAATGCTGAGAAGAATGCTGAGCAGAATGCTGAGCAGAATGCTCGAATCTTGCAGCCCATGCGCCTGAGGAGTTCTTGGAGAAGGAGTGTGTGCGCTCTGAGCGGAGGAGAGCATCATGAATCGATGCCATGAGAGAGGATGCTTTAGTTTTGCATGAGAGAGCATGCTTTGTTCCTTTCTGAGTGGTTCAAGAGACTTCACCTTCAAGCTGGAAAGCTTCAACACAGCACAGTGCTTTATACTTTGAACTTTACGCAGTATACTGTACTATAATTGCAGCCGGCTGACAGCCTCTCAAGAGATCAAAGTCAAGCTGGGTAATAGAACTTCAATGAACTTCAACATGTAAGAGAGTCTCATGTGTGCCACTTGTGCGTTTTGGCAATCTTGATTGATAGTTCTTGATCTGGCAGGATCATAATCCTGGATGAGAAGATAGACAGTCTGAGCAAAGAGGCCCTTGAGCTTTGCCCGAGTCGGAGGCTTTAAAGAAGATGTCCAGCATATGGCTTGCAGACGAACTGTTGGAATTGATCGATGTGAGGGATACCCAGATTTGCCTGCTGCATATCCATCCACAGTTGCATCCTGTCAATCAGTGGTTGCGCACAAGACTCACAGGCTGAAGACCTGAGGCAGCGCGCTACAGCTTGGTGCCACAGACGACTTTTTTGGTGGAGCTTGGCAGTCAACGAACACTTGCAGAAAGATCGTGGTAGGCTTGTAGGCTTGCCTGGCAAAGGGTCCAGATTCGTCAATCCCTAGGTTGTTCTGAGTGCCTTGCCAGATGCACAAGACTCGGAGGCAAGGAATGCTGCCCAGATTGGACTTTTGCATGCTTTTGTGTGTTTGGGCGGGAGCTTAGCCATTTGCAGGGGCTGGATGGGTACTTACAACGGTTGATCGGTTGATTCTTCTTCTTTTTCTTCTTCTTCTTCTTTTTTCCCGAATGCGTAGCGAAGGGTTCTCGTTTAACTCTGGGGGTCTGGGGGTAGAGCCTTGTTCGCAACGCGTTGTCTCAGCGTTCGCAACCGTTCACAACCGTCCGCAACCGTCCGCAACCGTCCGCAACCGTTCGCAACCGTTCGCAGCCGTTCGCAGCCGTTCGCAGTAGGGCGCTAAGGCGATGCCATTGGGGGAAGCTTTTAGAGAGGGTTTCGGATGGAAGCGTGACGTGTCAGATTCGTGTGAAATAGCGTGGAAACGTGTGGACATGTAAGATGTTGTATATGGAGGAGGATTTCACTGCGCAGGGGCAGCGTTTTGTGAGCTCCGCAGTTCTCTGCGCAGTTCCATTGGGATTGGCGTTGGGAGAGGGGTGTTTTTGGGGTGTTGGATGTGGCCGTGCAGTTGGGGTTCGCGTTTCAGGGTGTTGCATCGAAGCTCTGTTTTCGTGACAAGTCTGAGCTGAAGTGGCTATTTTGGCGGATGGGAGTGTCCTCAGAATGGGCCGAAGCCATTCCAAACGTGTGGTGTGGTGCAAATTTTGTTGAAGCTCACATGATATGATGGTCACTTTTCGTGGCAGGCGCAGTACTTTGTGCAGGCTTTGAGGTGTGGAAGTGAGATTCTTGTGGCAGGCGCAGGGAATCGTGAAGTTGCGAGGTGTGACGGAGGTGACATTTCGTGGCAGGCGCAGTACTTTGTGCGCGTTAGACGTGTGGACGCGGAAAGATTCGTGGCAGGCGCAGGGAATCGTGAGGTTGTGAGTTGTGAATGTCGCTGTGACATTGGGATTGGCGCGTGAGCGGGTGTTCTTCGGAGGGGCTGGAATCGCGAAACTGCTTGGCAGGGCTGCGTGATGTGTGTACTCCGATCGGTGTTTCCGCTTGACTTTTGGAGGAAGTCTCGAGCGAAGCGCTCGTTTTGGAGACTTGACGTGTGACCTTTGGAGGAAGTCTCGTACGAAACGCTCGTCTTGCAGACTCGAAGCGTGATTTTTGGAGGAAGTCTCGTACGAAGCGATCGTTTTGGAGACTGTACGTGTGACTTGTGGAGGAAGTCTCGTATGAAACGCTTCTGGTGTGTCGGCAGGAAGTGTGGCGCGCTGGCGTAAACGCAGCGTGTCGCTGGTGAGGGGGATGATTGGTGGTATCGTGTGATATGTTTGCTGCTAGTGTGTGGGCAGACATGTGGCGAAATTACGTTCGTGATGTCGCAGTGCCGTGCGGATTTGCGCGGCCTTGGTGGGAAGTGCGTTTGCGTGATGCCGTGCCACTAGGGAGCGCGAAACATGCTGGCGTAAATGCGGTGTGTCGCTGGTGAGCAGGATGATGGGCGGTATCATGTGATATGTTTGCTGCTTGTGTATGGGCAAACCGTGTGGTGAAGTTACGTTCGTGATGTCGCAGTGTCATGCGGAGCGTGCTGCCGCGCCACTGGGAAGCGCGAAACATGCTGGCGTAAACGCGGCGTGTCGCTGGTGAGCAGGATGATTGGCGGTATCGTGTGATATGTTTGCTGCTTGTGTGTGGTGGACCGTATGGCGAAATTACGTTCGTGATGTCGCAGTGCCATGCGGCCTTGGTGGGAAGTGTGTTTGCGTGGCGCCGTGCCACTGGAAAGGGCGAAACATGCTTGCGTAAACGCGGCGTGTCGCTGGTGAGCGGGATGATTTGTGGTATCGTGTGATATGTTTGCTTCTTGTGTGTGGTGGACCGTGTGGCGAAACTACGTTCGTGATGTCGCAGTGCCATGCGGATTTGCGCGGCCTTGGTGGGAAGTGTGTTTGCCTGGCGCCGTGCCACTGGGGAGCGCGAAACATGCTGGTGTAAACGCGGCGCGTCGCTGGTGAGCGGGATGATTGGTGGTATCAAGAGTGTCCCGCAAGAGCTTCCTAAAAGAGTCACCCACAAGAGTGTCCTACAAGAGTGTCCCACAAGAGTGTCCTACAAGAGTGTCCCAAGAATGTCCTGCAAGAGTGTCCTACAAGAGTGTCTCGCAAGAGTGTCCCACAAGAGTGTCCCAGATAGAGTGTCCCAAATAAAGAGTGTCCCGTATGAGTGTCCCACAAGAGTGTCCCACAAGAGTGTCCCGCAACAGTGTCCCACAAGGCTGTTCCAGGAGAGTGTCCCACAAGAGTGTCCTAAAAGAGTGCCCACAAGAGTGTCCCACAAGAGTTTCCCACAAGAGTGTCCCACAAGAGTGTCCCACAAAAGTGTCCCACAAGAGTGTCCCACAAGAGTGTCCCGTAAGAGTGTCCCGCAAGAGTTACCCACAAGAGTTCTCTACAAGAGTGTCCCGTAAGAGTGTCCCACAAGAGTTTCCTACACGAGTGACCCACAAGAGTGTCCTTCAAGAGTGTCCCACAAGAGTGTCCGACAAGAGTGTCCCACAAGAGTGTCGAACAAGAGTGTCCGACAAGAGTGTCCCACAAGAGTGTCCCACAAGAGTGTCCCACAAGAGTGTGCCACAAGAGTGTCCTACGAGAGTGTCCCACAAGAGTGTCCCTCCCGTAAGAGTGTCCCACAAGAGTTTCCTACAAGAGTGACCCACAAGAGTGCCCTACAAGAGTGTAATTTGGACATATTGTGCTTTTCGATCGTGTTTGCACTCGGGTTCGTGGGCTCCATCTTGTTTTTCTTCTTGGCACCCTAGGACTCAACTCGGGCCAAAGGGATCAGGAATATGCCTGCTTTCAATTGCCAGGCGTGTGGTCTGCAGCACAAGCAGCGACAGGCAAGGAGAAAGAGACAAGCTAAGTAGCATTTCAGCACTTCCATGTCCTCACTACTAGTGCAAACAGTCTGGACATTTGCAGAAGTGGTCCTTAGACCTTCATGAGGATGTTTGAGGCTGTCCGAACACGTCTACCAGTCATCGGCCGTTGGCAACAAGAGAGGTGCAAGAATTACGTCGTGAACAAGCTCAGCTGCAGAAGGAGCAGGAGATTGCAATGGACTTGTGGTATGTCCGCGGGCGTTGCAATATTTTTGTTCAACAGTGTTCAAGCTCAAACCCACGCTTCCTTTCGCAGGCCTGGCAACATGTTTAAATTTTGAGAAACCTTCTGGAGTTCGCCACAAAATCAGACATGAAAGACGAACTCCCATGAAGTACCAACTGATCGATTGATCAGATGCCCCCAGACGGCACGAAACCAGAAGATTCTTCAGATTCTTTGGGCCACCCCAGGTGGCTCGCCACCTGTCTGACCGCGTCAGCTCTGGATCGAGCGTGGCCCAAAGTGGCTGAAAGAGCCGTGCAAGGCTGAAAGAGCCATGACCTTGGTGGCAAGGCTGGTCTTGCTGCAGCTGGTGGAAGTTGCTGAAGCTCAAGACATTTTTTGTAGTCACTCAATACCTCTCGAGGAGTGTCCAGCTGCCTGTGCATTTCCATGTCTTTTCGTTGACTTGCATCACACTCTCCGTGGTATCCACGCATCCCAGCATGCCATCCAATTCCTACTTTTGAGGAATGGTCGGAATGGTACTTTAAAACACCTTATTCGTCAAGGATAAGTCCTTCAGTGTCCACATCATCTCTCCATTTTCAGAACAGAAGAGGAGCTCCTGTGTCATTGTAATGTGCTGCTCGAGGAGTGCCTTTCCTATCTTCCCTCGGAGAAGGCCGCAGTGAACCGGTTTATGAATGAGCTCGAGCATGCTCCAATGCCTTCCAGCACTGCCTTCGAGGGTACTGGCATTGTTATGAGTGGTGGGGCTCCACATGTTTTGCAGGCACTAGCGAACTTGGATGTCTTGAGACACTTCCACAAATCCGAGACTTACCCAGGAGGATCTTAAGCTTTTCTTTGGCTTGGAGAGGGGTTCCCGAAAACAATAGCTAGGTCAAGGCTGTCCAACCGAAGCGACAAGCGTGAACCTGATCCTGTCTGGGACAGCTTTGGATGAAAGCAAGTGAACATTGCTGGCCTTTTCATTCTTTTGAACCTGCTGTTGCGTGATCGATTGCGCTGGGTCTCGTACGACCCATCTCTTCCGGTCCTTCTTTATTGTCGTTGTTTCCGCAGTGCCTCAACAAAACGACTTCCAAGCTACTAGCGATGGCCTCCAAACTAATAGCAATGGCCCCAACCTGACTGATAGCGATGATAGTCACTATTTCAGTCAATAGTAATTATCATATCTCTCAGGACTTGCCCGTGGAGTTCTTTCACGCCTTTGAGTTGGAAGAGGCCCACTGCAAGGCCTTTGCCATGCGCGGGGCCACCTGTCGCCAGCTCCAGGCACGTACCTTGGAATCCACCGTCATTTTTGAATTGGTTGAGAGAGAACTTCACTATTTGGGGGAAGTTGAGCCACCTACTCCCAGACCAAGAACATTGACCAGCAATAATTATATAGATGCAACAACAAAATACAGTACAACGGAAACGGTGTAACTGTAATAGCTGACCAAGTCCTTTGGATTATTGGGGTATGAAAACGGATCAATCGAGTTCTTACAAATTGTGTCCATATAGATGATTAACTGTGATTCCAGTAACAAGAAGTTACTAGTAACAAGAAGCTAGTAGGGGCTCCTGGCCTTACTACTAGGAGCAAAGACGCTACTAGGGGCTCCTGGCATCGCTACTAGTAACAAGAAGCAGAATCATATTCTGAATGCAAACTTTGAACCCACGTGGGTGACAACGATCCGGAGGTGCCTGGAGTTTACCCTGAATATGAGACGGTGCTTCCATCGGTGATGAGCTCCAGCTTTCAGCATGTCTTATGGATGGAGACTAGAGACCGCTTGGAAACATTTATTTTGCTAAGCAGTTTAAGACGCTACTAGGAACAAAGGGCATCGGCCTTACTAGGAACAAGAAGCTACTAGTAACAGGGGCTTTGCTAAGCTGAAATTATGGTGCCAGATTGCCAGAATCAGCGACAAAGAGGACATTTGGATGAATGTCACCTACGGACGAACGAAACTGATCACTATGGTCAGTTGCATGCATTTCTGGAGCAAGTAATTTTCAACTGCTTGTGACTGTGGGATCAACTTTGAGAGAACATCGTTTGGCGTTCAAATGGGAAAAACTTGCATTGAGCGTTCAAGAGAGCGTATGCGAGTTTTGCAGTGTCCAAGGATACAGATATCACTCCACTGGTCGCTCCCGAAGTGCTTTTTCAAACTGAAGCATACCAGCGTGATGGTGCAATGTTCTGGCCTGACCATTGGTCTCATGACTGTTGGCCCTATGGGCAGTCTGCTTGGCCGACACACGTGGTTCTACATTTGCTCCAACTTGAATACAATATGTCCGAGCCTCGTTTCTGCCACGTGGAGCTCTTTCAGCTAGACCTTTGGGTGTTTTTCTCCGACCCCAAGTTACTAGTAACAAGAAGCAGAATCATTGAGTCGTCATAGCTCATCCTCAAGACTGGGCAGGCCATGAACATGAGACTGGACACTTCCTCATCAACAAGGAGATGCACTGGCGACCCATTTGCTTAGCCAACTACCTTGCCACGAGGGACTTCTTCACTCGCGTGCTTCATGGCTACAAAGACGTGACTCAGCTGACTCGGCTCGGGTGACCAAAGCGTGAAACGCCCCAGAGGACTCGGCATCTCGCGTCACGGAAATGAGGATGCCAATGCCAGGGAGGCTCAAGTTTGTTGACTTTGAAAGTCTTCACAGTTTGTTTCTGGTATCCTGGGAGGTCTTCGCAAGAGGTATATATATAAGAGAGAGAAGTATAATATAGTTTTGGTGACCATAGTTGCTATTTGTCAGGTCTTTCGCCTCGCCTTCTTGAAGTTGAATGCCTCGAACTGGTTTAGCCCTGTACGCCCCGGAATTGTGGGCGCGTTTATGAAGAATGGCCCCTGGCCTGAATTTTGAAATGCTCAAGACTGAACAAAACCAGTTTGCATGGAAGATTTATATTTTTTGGAACATGAAGGCATCATATAAAAGGCATAAACTAAATAACATGTATCTATGTATGTATGATTACATTTTTCCAAGGACGAGCCACAGAGTGTCAGGTAGTGTCCGTTCAAACACCGAGGCTTTTTCTACCCCGCAGCCTTGGTCCAGTTTTGGCCACATGCAGAGGTCTTGGGAGATGGCCAATACCTTGGGGATGTCACGACGCGTGATATCCCGCTCTACGTGCATCAGAAGAAGGTCCCTGGGAGCCTTGGCCGGGTGCCCCATGGTGACCCATCAGATTCATGGCCCGGACCTGGCCCGCCGGTTAGACTTGATGGCCGATTCCACGAGTTGCCCCGAATTCGTTGGTTTTCGGACTCGACTCGTGGATCTTCGCTGATTGTCCCAGGATTCTGTGGACAGACTTCCTGACCTTCGAAGAGCCCTTGGGACGGTGTACATCCTTCCGCTTGGTCCCGGTGGACCCGGCGACCCCGGACGTGGCACCCTGGGATTTGGAGCGAACAGATCCGAAGATCGCACAGTCCCTCTACTTGATCGAGGCTCTCTGGGAAAAGTCTTTCTATGCTAATATGGAGACATGGCGTGCGACGTGCGATCAGTTTTGACTTTTTTCACCCTTGTTCTCGTCCTCCATATCCGAACAAAGAGGTGATGCTTTTCTTTTGCTGACTCTTCAGCAGTTTCAGGAGCGCTTGAAAAATGATCCCAACCTGTCGCCGGAGAGCAAAGAAGTGCTCAGGGCCAAGCGAGATACCTCCATCACTAAGCAATGGAACCAGGTGGTGGAGAGCTGTCGCTGTGATTTTGCCAACAACCTCTGGTTTCATTTATTGAGTGTCTTGAACCCAGAGCTGCCCGACGGAGTGAAGCGCTTCGACACAGCAGCTTGCAAGATTCTCCTTTCACCGAACTTCGATGGTGCATCTCGGCCTGTTTGGAGTGCCATCAACCAAATAGTAATACTTGCTGGTCTGTTCACCGTCTACTTGACTCTTAATCCACTTCCTTTTGCATTCCCCCCAAAGATATCCCATGCTTCGCCAAGTGGAATCTGATCCTGAATCATGCCTGCTTTCAGCAGCTCCAGGCCCCCTTGAGCAAAGCATTTTTCGTCCATTGCCATTGTGTAGTTGTTTATGAGATCTCCGTATGTTTCAACTACAATTGGCTGGGGCAGAGAAGCAAGAGTTCTTCGAACTTGCCGTAGAAACAGAATGGTGTGCTTATGTCGAGTTACTTTTGCAATCTTTTGCAGAATAACAATTTGGGATGCCCAATCAGCCCATGCCCTGCAAAACTCATCACGAGTGCCCGCGTCTTGCGCTCGAGGTCACGTGCCCAGTGGGCTTCGCTGCCCTGGCCGTCATGTGCCATCGATTCTTTGGAGTGGAAGAGAGAGGCAAAGCAAAGAAGGTGATTGCCAACTTGCTGCCAGGTCTAGAGGCCACTTTGGCCGTAACGCCTGAGACAGACGACGCATGTGTGACAAAGACAGACGAGGGAGACATCTGACATGTTGAAATTCTGCTCTTTTCACACGCCAGGGGTGTTTGCCGAAGACCTTTTGGCCTCTGAAACTCGATCAACTGCGGCGCTTCCTGGACCAGGATCAACCTTTCACTATGGTCTTTGACCCGGAGAAAGCACAGAACCTCACCCCGGATGTGCGCCACTTGGCCTCAACGTTTGGTAAAGCTTTTTGTTTTTTGATCCGTTTCAATCACTGGTGCCGAGGAAGTCAATTGAGACGTTGGTGTGGGCCAAAACTTAATCCTTTCCCAAGACCTGCGGTATGGTTGAGCTCCCTGGTTCTCCATTTTGCTCATTGTGCAGGGTCAGAGTCCCCGGTTTTTTCAGAGCCGTTGAACAGCGGGAAGCGACAACCAGGCCGCTGTTTGCCGCTGAAGTCTTTGGATTGCTGGAATCCGCGAAACGTACTGTCTGAGGATCCACTCAGGTTGAGAGATCCTATGTCTGAAGGACAGGGTTGGCAACGACAGCACAGCGACTTCAAGTTCAATTGTTAGGGTGTACTTTGGAGTAGATACTTCTGTCTTTAGGTCCTTAGGTCTTATTTGTTATATACTGTAAGGATTTATATACTTAACACAAAGACATCATTTTATTGGGAGAACTCTTCAGGAGGTTCAGAGAATTCCTGTCTATTCTGCTGCACCATGCGTGACTTGAGTGAGCATTGCTTTGATAGCTATTTTACCAAAGAGGCCTGCTGCAACGAAGTGAAAGCTTGAAGCTGAAAACATGGTGCTCTCCAGCGATAGAACCGTTCGCAAGCTGCTAAGCTTGCAAGCTGAGCTGGTTTGATGGTACTTTCAAAGGGACAGATGGACCAAGTGACCACTTTCTCCGTGCAGGGCCACTTGTGACTGCCCTCTGAGCTTGTGAGCACGTGCAGAGATTCCGTGGATAATTATACAGTTATACACATAGTTTCGGAGACGTTTAGAGAAACACATTTGAGATGGTTCGGTTCCCCTTCAAAGGCTGACTGGAAGTTCTTGTTGCTCAGGGTGCAGCCGAGATAGCCTGATGTAGCAACGCAATGCAAAGGTCTAGGTCCTACTTCCTCCTCATTTGCAGAGGTTCATTTGAACCACCGCCCAAACGTGTGGTTGTGGGGGGCAATAGAGACAGACATCCATGTGAGAGTAGGCAGAGCAACTACTTGAGCCAGGAATGCCAGTTCAGAGGGGGCGTTCTGTACCATAGGACCAGCCCACACCAACTTGACGATACCACCACATCGTCGCGGATCACCGGGATAGACCGTTCCCTCTGTCAGGAGGCGGCCGACCAAGAGTTTGAGGCTGCGAAGGCCGATGGCATGATGTCCAGTTTTCATGTTTAGACATCCAGGGTTGGTCGAAAAAACAGATACAGTACCTGTCTTCGCATGTCTCAAGCCACAGCTCTACTGTCAGAGAATCCTCTACAGTATATAGTGGTTTACTAGTTTCATGGTGGAAGAGCTAGGCAGAGCTGCTTCGAAATGCGTCTTTGGGCGAGGTGGAAGCCTCCGTCCTAGAGAGGAAGATTCGGTCCCTTGGAGCTCTGCCAAGTGATCGCTGAAGATGGAGGCCGTTTTTGAGGCCCTGGAGTCCGGAGGGTGCGGCCGAAGACAGATGAGGTCATATATAAAGATACATGCTCCTAGTAGCGTCCTTGCTCCTAGTAGCGATGCCAGGAGCCCCTAGTAGCGTTCTAAAGATGCAAGATGGCAAACGATTCTCTGACAATTTAAGTGGCTTTCCCAAAGGCACAGAGTTTGCCGAAGGGGCAGGGCAAATATACAACACGCAAAGAAACGGTCTTTATGATGCCCTCTCTGATGGTGAAGGGAATGAGCTCGTGACTGCAAGCTGACAGGTGGTGATCCAGCAGCTCCAATCCAAGATGGTGTGAAGGCTCGGGTGCCTTCAAGAGGTCCATCCCAGAGCATGGATTTTTGAAGCTATTTTTGCGTCAGTCCGCTAAGCCATGGCGTTTGTTGTATTCCCAGTCCTGGGGAAGACATCGAGGTGTCCTATGGTTTTCCACCAAAGGTTCACCGAAGCTCTTGCATCAAATCTTTTGGGGAAGACTGCTCGATTCCGCGTCTCTTAATGAGGCGCGGGCCATGAAGTTGAACGCCTGAGATCGTTCCCGTGGTGAACTTCGACTTGGAGAGTGGTCCCCTCACATCCCTGCGGCAAAAGTCTGCACCATGCACCACGAGATGTCGAGCCACTGTCGCAAGATGTCAAAAGGTAGGATGTGGTCCTGCAATCCTCCAGGGAGATTGAAAGCAGCGCAGAACATGGCACGCTGGTTTAGTCAAAAACGACTTGGCATTGTGACCCACCTCGAATCCTATCGACGGAGGACCCCTCATCAAACCAGTAACCAAAGGATAAAGGATGTCCTTGTTGAGACACCGACATTCTTACTAGCTTCGGAAAGCAACAAGAGTGGGGCCCAAAGCCTTAGCTTGGTCAGCTTAGGAGCTGAGTCAAGTTCTGCGTTCCCGCTGCCCCTCAGACTTGATACAGGATAAAGAGCTTGAAAAACTGGGTTCACAGCGCTTGCTAACTAGCATGAAGTTTCAGCAAGAAGAGTCTTGTGCACTTTGCCAGCACTGTGGTCATCCCGAACTACCAACGTTGGTTCCGCATCCAAATAACATATGCACACATATGGACACCTGCAAAAATGCTGATGCAACGACAAGTTTCATTCGAGGGGCCCAAGGCCATCCAAGTTGTTTCGGGGCATGGCTGGTGTAGGCCCCTGTCGATTCGAAGAACCTTCCACCGTCTCTGAGCGATGGAGCTGAAGCGAAGTGGAATACCAGCACTCCTGGTATCTCGACAAAGAACTATGCGTAGACGGTCGGGTGTGAAGTGAAGGGCTGAGTCTATATACTGTATAATATACATAGAGCTACCTCAGGCTATCTCTAGGTTTTCAGGTGCTGTGCATGTGCCCAAAGTGTGGTGCTTGACGACACCTTTGTCGGATCGTGGCTGTTGAGACCCAAACTGTGTATGTGCTATCCTCATGAACGGATGTTCAAGCCAAATAGGGTGTCCCGCATAACTGTTTGTCAATATTTGGTGATGCCCTCCTCGACACCAGCCATACTGTACACTGGTATACCTAGAAATGTTCCAGAAAGCAAGCGGCAGCGATAGACCTGCGATGCCCTAGCTGAAAGGATCTTAATGCTCCATGATTTGGTTTTGCTACTCGAAGACAAGTTTAATTTGCTGTACTTTACATTCCTGTCCATAAGCTTTCTGTCAAGCAAAGAAGAAACTGGAGTCACAGCTCTTCGTTGCAAGCCAACTCTTTTTGCCAAGGCCATACCAGCGCTGCTGTGGTTTGCACTTTGTTGCACTTTTCTCCAGGCTTCCAAGCAGAAAGGGGGGGCATCGCGGTTGTTAATATAGACATTTTTTATTGATTCATTATTTTCTTTTGACTTTCCATAATATTCCTTCTTTGTTCCTTTTCTTTCACATATATATATATATATTTTTTTTTTCTTTTGCTTAGATGGCTTGCGTCATTCAGTTCGAAAGGCATCCTTTCCTGGCCAAAGGACTTTAAGAATAGCTGGCATCGGCACGAGTTTGAGCAGTGATCAATTTTGAGACATCAAAAAAGGACAAAGGGAATGATTGTGCTTTGCCCAAGGTCATTCTGGGAAAGAAAGCAGAACAGAACAACTCAGGCTAGATTCCAGAGCAGTCATTTGCTCATGGCCTAAGATGAAATCTGGGAGTTCTGTGCCGATGTGGAGCTTGAGGCGCTTTGCTTGCTGCTTTGGGCGGCTGGCCTGGTAAAGGACTGTAGACTCTGCGCGAGCTTTTGAAGGGGAGTGTGGGATGAAGAGGTAGGACATGGCAGTATGATTCAGTGTGATCTATATATGAACTTGGAATCCCTGGATTCTGTCATCAGAAATCCGCAGACCAGCACGCAGCTGCTCACGCACCTTCGTGGCATGGTGCCTCAAAGATGCTGCCTGGAAAGCCTGATGCTGCCTATGCAGGAGTATACGGAGGCCATCAGATTTCTGCTCAGCGTGATGCATAGGCCCGAAGACGTTCCGACAGAAGCAAGATCAATTGTCAGCAAACTCAGACTCTGAGAGGCATTTGGAAATATGTAGGAAAGCGCTGCAAGTTGGAAGTGAAGGGAAAAACCCGTGTCGTTTTGGAACTGAGCAGTGACAATGCTACTGGGCCTGACTTTGGCGAGGCCCTTCCTCTACTTGATGCAATATTCTGGCAGCAGGAACGAACGGGCGGACTGGCACCACCAGATGGGTATGGGTCAAAATAGAGCTGGTACCGAAAAATGACCATCTGAGGGCCTCTCTTGAAGAACCGACCAACGGTCAAGCCTTCGAACCTCGCAAAACGACGAATCACCAGCTGTGTGCCTCAAGTGCTTTGTCTTCACTAGTTTGTACTGCAATTGACAGGGTCTTTGTCTACACTGCGCAGGGTGACGTCCAGGCTGGAAGAAAAGAACACTGGAAGACTTCTGCGCACAATTTACACTCAACTGAGTATATAGATAGAAATTCATTTTCTTTGCAGTGGAGGTTGGCTATTGAGTGTTGGGGTTGCTGCCGGCAAAAGTACGATAAATTGATAGAGGTATTTTGTCGCAAGAAGAATGGCTGGAACCAAATCTGTGCAAGACAAGCACTCTGAGATTTTTTGTTGGCTGTTGCCCAAACCACGCCAGTCCAGCATCTTGAAGACGATTGGCTTTGATCAAGCTGCTCGACTGGCAGACGGCACGTCTTTTCTTTTTCGGAGTTTTCGGAGACTGGGAGGTGCTGTTGTGACCACGCTACGGTCCATAGCAAATTGAATAATATCATTTGCTCCTTTGGACTCGAGCTAAGCTCTCGCGGCACAAGATCCTGTTTCGGAAAACCGGTGGCCAACTGGAGCTACTGGCCACCTAGGTCCAGTTTCTTTTTCAAGCTGAGGCTGAGGCTTACTTTAGGCTTTGGAGAAAGATGCAGACCGGCTTAATTCGTTGGTCTTGGGCGGCTATGATCCTCAACAGACTGACAAAGGCTTCTCTCGCCACACCATGGGGTGTTCTTTGGGCATCAAAGGCACACATTCGTGTGTTCTGTCTTTGTTTTTCTGGGACACCCAGATTCTTCACTGGTTCACCTCGGATGTTCGTGGCCTTCGCCGCCCTGCCGAGTCTTTGATCTTCTCAAACCATCGTGGAGACTTGGATTGGCTGATTGGGTTGATGGTCTCTCTCTCAGTGGGCAGACTTGAGAGTAGCTGCAACCGACCATTGGTCGTACCGTACCCCATGCCATGGCAGTCTACTGAAGAAAGACTGTTCCACCAAATTGCCAGAAACAATGCCATTTGTTTTTAAACATACTTTTATGATTTCTTTTAATGACTCCTACATGTTCCTGCTTTGCACGGTTCATCTTCCCACACCTCAAGGTGGAGGACAACGGCGGAGGCTTAGGCCGGGCACCAGGGGCCCTTCGATCCCATATCGAATTGTCGCATCCATGCGGTGCCACACAAATTACAGGTCGGAGGTATCTTCTTGCTAGCAAAGCATACGCGGG